GTGGAGTCCCCCAGGGCTTGGTCCTTGGGCCTGCACTGTGCTTTTCACCCCCGCAATTTGAACGAGGTGGGGGAAAAGCACCCTGTTCAAATTCATTGACGACAGCAAGATTTGGGGTGAGGTGGGCACGCTAGAAGGGAGGGATAGAATACAACTGGACCTGGACAGGTTACAGGGATGGGAAAATGAGAATAGGATTTCATAAATTTCATAGACATTTGGGATGGAATGGACCCCAGAGGATTATCGAGTCCAGCTCCCTGCCCCAGGGGCAGGAAGTCAGCAGGGATCATAGGATCCCAGCAACATAAGCATCCAAATGTGTCTTGAAGGCATTCAAAGTGGGTGTTTGAATCACCTCTGACAGCAGTCAATTCCAAACCTTGGGGGCTCGGACAGTGAAGAAATTCTTTCTTATGTCCAGCCTGAACTGGTCGCAGCAGAGTTTGTGACCGTTCAATCTTGTAATCCCTTGGGGCACTCTGGTGAATAGATATTCCCCCAGATCCTGATGAGCACCCCTGATAAACTTATAGGTGGCCATCAGATCACCCCTGAGCCTGTGCTTTTCCAGGCTGAAGAGTCCCATGGCTCTCAGCCTCTCATCATAAGGTCTGTTTTCCTGACCTCTGATCATGCGCATGGCTCTCTTTCAAGCTTCTCCACATCCTTTTTGAATTGTGGAGCCCAAAACTGGACGTAGTACTCCAGCTGCGGCCTCACCAAGGCTGAGTACAACGGGAGAATTACGTCCTGGGATTTGCTTGAGAAGCATCTATGGATGCAAGCCAGCATTTTGCTTGCTTTACTAGCTGCAGCATCACATTGAAGGCTCATGTTCATCTTGTGGTCAATCAGGACCCCCAAGTCCCTTTCATCTGTAGTGATACCAACGTAGCACTGCTGAGCCTATAAGGATGGTGCAGGTTTTTCCTCCCAAGGTGGAGAACCTTGCATTTTTTGGTGTTGAAAACCATCAGGTTCTCGTTTGCCCATTTCATGAGCCTGTCAAGATCTGCCTGGATCACCCTCCTGTCCTCAGGTGTGGATGCTTTACCCCAGAGTTTGGTGTCATTGGCAAACTTGGCCAGTCCGGTTCTGACTCTAATGTCCACATCATTGATGAAGATGTTAAATGGTATAGGCCCTAGGACAGAGCCTTGAGGGACCCCACTGGTGACCACGCACCAAGACAATTGGCTTCCGTCGACCACCACCCTCTGGGCCCTACCACTGAGCCAATTCCCCAGCCAGTGGATCGTGGTGAGATCAAGGCCGCAGCTAGCCAGTTTAGCCAAGAGGTGATCGTGGGATACGAGATCGAAGGCTTTTTAAAAGTCAAGATATATGACATCAATCTCTTCCCCCTTGTCCAGGTGATAGGTCACCTGGTCATAAAAGGAAATGAGATTGGTCAAGCAAGACCTACCCGCAACAATCCCATGCTGGGTATTCCTGAGGATATTGCCTTCAGCTAGTCTGTTTAGGATGGCCTCATTGATAATCTTTTCCAAGACCTTCCCCAGGATAGAGGTCAGGCTGATGGGTCTGTAGTTTGCCAGATCTACTTTCCTCCCTTTCTTGAAGATAGGCACGACATTGACCCTCTTCTAATCTTTGGGTACTTCACCAGAGCACCAAGAGCTCTCAAAGATCCATGCCAGGGGCTGAGCTATGATGCTTGCCAGCTCCCTGAGTACCCTTGGATGTAACCTATCAGGGCCGGCTGACTTGAAGGTATCCAGCCTTCCTTCATGAGGTCAGCTTCGATGGAGGGCAAGGAATCTCCCTCACCCGGGCCTCCCTGTCTTGTAATGGGCAGGGGCGTCCCATGGGACTGGTGAAAAACTGACGCAAAGTATCCATTTAGCAAGTTGGCTTTCTCCTGGGCATCGGTTGTCAGTTGCCCCATCTGGATTAGCAGGGGTCCAATGTTGCTTTTGCTTTTCCTCCGGCTCCCCACATATCTAAAAAAGGACTTTTTATTCTCCTTGATATTTGTAGCTAGCTGGAGTTCCATTGCAGCCTTGGCTTTCCTGGTTTGCTCTCTGCAGGTCTGGACCAGAGCAGAGTATTCCTCCTTGGTGGTGGTTCTAGCCCATCATCCTTTGTAGGTCTTCCTTTTAAGACGCAGGAGGTCTGCCAGTTCCCTGGAGAGCCAAGGCAGCTGCTGTGCCCTTTTGCTGCCTTTCCTCTGAGATGAGATGGACTTTGGTTGCGCATCCAGGATTGCTCCCTTGAGGAGCAACCGCTCATCCTGAACATCCTTCTCCTTTGGGTTGTGGCCTTTTAGGGCCTCTCTGACAAGCCGCCTTAGCTTGTCAAAGTCAGCTTTTCCAAAGTCAGGACGGGATTCATTACTGACAAGTGCAGGGTACTGCGCTTGGGCAGTAAGAAGCAGCAGCATACCTATAGGCTGGGAAACTTCCTTCTTGTAAGCACAGTGACAGAAAGGGATCTTGGAGTCATTATTGATTCCAAAATGAACACGGGCCGCCAATGTGAGGATGCGGTCAGTAAGGTTAACTGCACCTTGTCATGCATCCACAGATGCATCACAAGCAGGGCCAAAGAAGTGATCCTCCCCCTCTATGCGACATTGATCAGGCCACAGCTGGAGTACTGTGTTCAGTTCTGGGCGCCGCACTTTAGGAGGGATGTGGCCAGCATCGAGAGGGTCCAGAGGAGGGCCGCTCGCATGATCCGGGGACAGCAAGGCAGACCCTACGAGTAGAGGCTATGGGACCTGAACCTGTTCAGCCTTCACAAGAGAAGGCTGAGAGGGGACTTGGTGGCCATCTATAAACTTACCAGAGGGGATCAGCAGGGAATGGGAGAGACCCTGTTCCCCTGAGCACCTCCTGGAGTAAGAAGGAATAATGGCCATAAGCTGTTTGAGAGTAGGTTCAGGTTGGACATTAGAAGGCACTACTTCACAGTAAGGGCTGCTAGGGTCTGGAACCAACTTCCAAGGGAAGTAGTGCTGGCTCCTACCTTGGGGGTCTTTAAGAGGAGGCTTGACGATTACTTAGCTGGGGTCATAAGAGCCCAGTGTTCACTCCTGCCCAGGCACGGGGTTGGATTTGATGATCTACTCAGGTCCCTTCCAACCCTACATCTATGAAACTATGAAACTAAGATTGACTGGTTGATTGGGGAGCCCCTGACAGTTGATCTCAGTCTGGGGGAGCTGGTCCCTCCAGATTGATATCGACTGGCAGGACACATGGGGAGTGGCTGGGTGCGGCAGCATGTAGGAGCGCAGGATGCACATGGCTGGGCTGAGCTGTGCCCCCTGTTGCTGGGGCCAGGCTGAGTGAGTGGGATAATCCCCGTCCATGCCCCCTGCCACAAGGTGAGTGGGGTCCTGGCTAGGCCAGGCCGGGGCAGGGTTGGACCCCAGGTGGCTCATCCAGGCACACGGGAGCGGGGGAAGGAGAGATCCTGCCGCTGCACACACCTTGATGGAGGCCTAGGGGGCAACATGTCCTCCTGATCCATGTGTGGGGCAAGGCGGCTGCTGCTGCATGCTGGGCTTTGCACCCCGAGCCCCACTGCAGCTTGGGGCTCTGGGTGTAAAGCCCAGGGCACAAAGTCCACGGCACAGTGGCAGCCGCCTTGCTCTGTGCACAAATTGGGGGGAGGGGCATGTGCCCCCAGATCTGCATGTGGGGTGGGGTAGGCTGCAGGTGCGGGCTGGGGCCCTGGCCCCCCACCATGGCCCTTTTCCTTCACTTCGCCCCTTCCCCCACAGACTTACCTGCTGGGGGGGTGCACCCCCAAATATTTTTTTCTCCCTCCACCTCAATCTGCTCCCCCCCCCCCGCCTTTTCCCTCCCTACAAACTTAGCTGCTGGGTGGTGGGAGGTGGGTGGGGGTGCATATTGGTTTGCTTTAAATTCCCAAAGTGATCGCCTACTGGAAAAGGGTGGAGACCACTGCTGTATAGGTTACTGAGTGACATGTTGGGGAGTAGGGCTCCAGACAGGGGTGAAGTAACAGAAGTGACTTAGTTTCCCCATCTGCAAAATGGAGATAGTGGCTGTGACCTCCCCAGGAAAGCATTTAGGCAATAGTGCTACTTAAGTGCTATAAGGTAGTATTAGTAGCAGCAGTAGTATGTTCATCAAGAATGATCTGTGAAGTTAAAACTACTGGAAGCATCTAGACAAGGGTAGTTCGAGGACTGGGCAGTGCTGACAGGCAACTGTTGGAAGATAGAGACCCTGCGCACAAAGAAAGGCGATAAATGGTCTACAAAATGGAAATAAAGAGCTTTGGTGCTCCCTGCCCCATAACATTAGAGCAACATAATGACCAGAATAAATGAAAGGAGATAAATGTCCTTTCACATGATCCACAATCCATCTGCGCAACTCCTTGCTACAGGATGCCACTAAGGCCAACAAATCAGCATGAATTAAAAAAAAGAAATGGGATCTTTATAGGAATAACAGGAATATCCAGGGTAATCACAGGTATTTCTAAAAATAATTTGGAAAGGAAATTAAAATGCATGCTTGGAACTTAAGTTGGTTCCTGATTATGACAGATCAGGATGAGACTTAGTGGAAGGGACAGTTTAATCTGTTACTGTGGGTTTTCATGACCCGTCCTTTGAAATAACTATCAGAGACAGGATATCACTCTGGTCAGTCCTTGGATATGAATGACTGGGTCATGCAGTGAGAAAAGCTATTTCTTTGTCAACCAGCATGTGGCCTGAAACATCTCCCTTACCCACTACCACTTGGCTCAATCCAGGGGCATGGTGGGTGACCCCTCTTATACATTCACATACCGTGGTGGGTGCTGACTTCATAGGAGATACCAGCTCCTCAGTGCCAGGAGTGGGCTTTTCTTTTTCCCTCAGTGATTTGTGACCATTTCACCCCCCTGCCTCCTGCCTTTGAGCAACTGATTCCAAACTCATTTGCAACATCAATGCCACTGGTGTGGCTGCTCCCCGCCTTTCCCCTGGTCAGTTCCCTCTGCCTTACTTGTAGTGTTGTACCGCACTCCGTAGAAGTATTCAGGGCAGGGGCGAGCCACCAGCTGCCCCACAGCACTCCGGGGCCAGCATGTACCAATCAAGTCTATTGAGGCATTGCACTGGAGTCCTGAGGGACAGAAGGAAAAAAGGAGGCAACATTAATAAAGACCCCAGGGTCAATCTCATGGCACTTTCCTGGAGTGAGCTGAACAATAACTTGTTTAAATTAGGGTGTTCTATAAGAAATTCCCCCTATAAAGGTAACAGATAATATGGAAAAGTGAAGTATACTGTGTTAGTGTAGGCATCATTCAGGCCAGATTGCAGTGTTTTATACATATAATGTGCGTGTGTCCATAGAATACAACGTGTACAACAGCAAAATATCTTATTTACATCTCAGGAATAGATATGAAGCAGCATTCCTGTTTAATGCTAACATAATTTGATCATTAACATTCTACAGTTAGAAAATGTGTGTTCAATAGAAAATGAAAGAAATGTAGTTTATTGCAAAGCATTTATACTTACTGAAGACATTAGTGCTGAAACAAGTAGAGGCACTATTTCACTGTTAGGGTGGCTAGGATCTGGAACCAACTTCTTAGGGAAGTGGTCCTTGCTCCTACCCTGGGTAAATTCAAAAAGAAGTTGGACGAACACCTGTCTGGGGTCGTGTGATCCCAGTCTGTGCTCTGGCCAGTGGCAGGGGGTCAGACTAGATGATCTGTTCAGGTCCCTTCTGACCCCTAACTACTATGAAACTAAGTGCTTTGTTTCTTTTTCCCTGCCTTTCAGTTATTGAAAACCCCAAGTACCATGGAATCATCAGTAAGATTTTGAGCTCAGTTATTTCAGTTCTATGTGGGACATCAATGGAGTGGGGCCTGATTTTTTGCCTGATGTAAGAGCAACAGAAACACTTAGTGTTTCTTGTTCCTCCCTGTCTTCTATTTCAATCTCTCTGTATTCCACATGCAATAAGGACCTTATCCTTTTTCAAGATTTGGTTCATCTTGTTCAACTGTGTGTCCTCTGTCTCTACATATTTCCAATAACTTATTAGTAGGGACCTACCAAAATAATGGCAGAAGTGCACTGCACAGTGGCTCCTTTAATCTTGCAGTTTCCCCAGTCTGCCCCCACACCCAATTGAAGGAGGGGCCCCACCACTCACTGCTCACTCCTCATCAGTGGGGAGGCAAAAACCCTGGTTTTAAATATGGTGTGGATTTTGGCTCCTGCTGCTGATTGGCCGAGGTGCCCTAGCAGCCCTGCTGCTTGCTGCTGACTGGCTGGGAGGCAAAAACTGCATCACATTTAAAACTGTGCTTTTTGCCTCTCTGCTGCTCAGAAGCAAACAGTGAGGCCCCTCTGCCAATCAGGCGTGGGGGTGGGGAGGAGGCGAGCTTGGAAAACTGCAAGACTAAAGAAGCCACCACGCAGTGCACTTTGGCCGTGATTTCAGTAGGTCCCTACTTATTAGAAATCCATAGGTTTATTATCCTCTTCCCGTTTAAAGTGACCATTTTCATTTCTATAATGGAATTAAACAAGGGTGTTTGTTCTACCTGAGGCTGTATCTGTTTCTTTCCTGTGCCCAAAATCGTGTTTACCATAGTTCTCAGCTAGACATTACCAAGCAAAACTTGCTTTCCAGTGTTTTGTAGTAGTCACGATTCATTGTGGAAAGCTAAGGGTATTATTGGAATGCGTACTGGTTGCCTCTGTTTCTGGACTGCAAAGTCTGTCTTGACATGTCCCGGTAGTCTGTAACAGTCTTTGAACAATGCTCTACCAAAAGCTATAGACAACACTCCACTGAAAGTGCTAGTTTCTGTCCTTGATGCTTCCTCCTTTGTGCTGAGGAGAGAAAGGAGAAAAATATCTCCTGCCACAAAGGGTTTAGTTTAAGCAAAAAAAGGAGAAAAAAGTTTATAGTTATGGCTTAGCCTCATTTGCCTATCAGGGCTATCTGCTCAATGGCTGTCCTTGGCTTCCAGATTTTACCAGGCTGCTTAGCATGGAAATTAGATGCATCAGATGCTAAATGCATTAATGCGTTCTTTTCAAATCCACCCATATTTTACAATTCTCTCCCAGCCTGTTTTCTGAAAACACCTCTTCCAGCACTAGCAGAACTATTTGAAACACAGACATACTAAGGTTCTTCACAGAGTTACACCAAAAGATTCTGAGGTGTTTCCTCCGTATGGCTTTGCACTAGTTTAGCAAGTGATTCGCACTCTATCTGGACACATTGCATTTGGTTTCTTTAACAACGTGCAGGCTCTGCAATTTGGAACACAAGCTGAAGTGGGGATGATTTGGAGGAAGACACCAGGAAGCTCCACATATGTCCTTATTTGGGAATTCATGCCTGACCAGTAGATAAGTTTTCATAGTTTCTAAGGTCGGAAGGGACCTGAACAGATCATCAAGTCCAGCCCCCTGCCTTGGGCAGGAATGAGTGTTGGGATCATAATACCTCAGCTAGATATCTATCCAACCTCCTCTTGAAGACCCCCAAAGAGGGGAGAGCACCACCTCCCTTGGGAGCCCATTCCAGAGCCTGGCAGTCTTAACCATAAAGTAATGCCTCCTGATATCAAGCCTAAACCTGCTTTTTTATTAGACCAATTTAAGCAGTTGGAACAACAACAAAAAATAGCAAGCTTTTGGGTTTAAAAACCCTTCATCAGGCTGAGGAAGTCTCTGCAGTAGGTGTGTGACCAGTAGACACTCCTGAGCATGCCATAGGTATGCCTCTATTCCCAGGTGCAAAGCATATATTCTTTTAATGAAATCCTGCCTCAAATTGGCAGGGATTACAGCTCTGTTACCTTCATGCCAGATTACATTTTATAGGGTATAGCTCATCCCTAACCTGCCAGTAAGGAATGATTTCCTGGGACACCTGCTCCTAGTGATCTGGCCACCCCTGGAGTACAATTCATGCCACAGTCTCTAGCTATTCATCCAATTCTGTGCTCCCACAAAGACTCCCTTTGGAGATGCAGGCACACATACTGCAGTGCACTGACAGATTCAATCTAGTGTTCCACAAAGCCACATGTGATGTACTCTGGAAGGCTGGCCCTGCTCAGGGTATCTGCCACTAGCCATGTCTTTTCTGAACAGTAACTGATGCTGACATCATAGCACTGCAGTTTCAAGAGCATGCGCTGGAGTTGCTCGGTGCACTGAGGAGTGTCTTCTTCATAATGCTTTCCAACAGCTTGTGATTAGACTGCACATCCACCTTCTGTCCCAAGGTGAACTGGTGGAATCGTTCCATTCCAAAGAGCACCACCAGCAGTTCCTTTTCTATTTAAGCATATCCTCTTTCTGTATTGGTCAGGGCCTACCTGGCAAATGCTGTGGGTTGCTGGTTCTGCATTAATGCTGCTACAAGGCCTCCTTCTGAGGCACCACACTGTAGCTATAGTTGTCGTGCTAGATTGTAATACTTCAGGACTGGTGCCTTCAGGGCTAGGGACAGACATTACACATAAACTAGTTTAAGTGATCAAAAACTTGTTTAAACTTGTATTAGAAGAGATATTCAATGCATATAAACCAGTCTGAAAATGGCTGAAACCAGGTTGAGATAAACCTGGTTCAATGTAGCATCAGACTTAACTGATTTGGGTCAAACTGATTTATGCAATGTCTGTCTCAGACCCTTTGCTGGTTTAAGATAAACCAGACACCCCCAGCATCCTGGCATGCTGTGTGGGCTGGGCTGTCTGCTCCACAGCAGAGCTGGCCCCTCCCCTCTGCTCCCTGGCTGGAGCTCTGGCAGAGATTGCAGGCATCTGCCTGGCTTCCCCTTGCTGCCCCCCTGCCAAGCAGGGATTCTTCCCTCTCCTCTGCCTTACACAGATACCTCTCAACATTAGCTAGTATACCACATGCTGGCTACAGTCCATGCTGTGATAGATGGGAAAAAGGCAGACAGGACTGTGTCCTTTTTAGAGCTAATCAACAGGTAGCTGGCAATGTCCCTCCTTGGAATGTTCCCTTCCTTGGAAAAAGGTGTTTAAGAGGAGCTTGAACGAATGAGAGGGACTTTGTTTTCTGGTGTTAAATGCTGATAACAAAGTGGGGGACCTAAATCAGAGTGCCCTGTGGGGGAATGGCCACGCCCCCTCAGCTCAGTATTGTGGAAGGGCAGGGAGGGCTGCTCTAGTGCCCCCCGGCTTCTAGCTTGAGCCACTGCAGCCATATGCCTGCATTTTTTTTCAGTCCAGAGGAGATGTCTGTGTGGTTACAAACTGGTTTAGCTTAGCCAGATTAGACTAACCTGCAAAGATTGAATCAATTCAGGCTCAGGCTTTTTGAATGTCTGTTCCTAGCCCATGTGCATCAGCTGTCTCAAAGGTTTGCAAGCCTCTGACAAGTGTGTACAGAATCTGGATAGCTAGCCAGGCCTATAAATCTGCACTCCCTTCACGTATTGTGGTCTGGGCATCCCCTTAATGGCTGTCAGTTTCACAAGGTAGATCAGAGTCCTGCCGAGGTTGGAAGTATCCAGTGTAGAGGAACTCACTTCTCCTCAGCTTTAGCTTGTCTGAGTTTAACTTAACATTCTGCCTTTACCTGTTTAGGAGCTATCTCAGCTTAGCAACATGGTCATGGATAGCCTCTTCCTTGCTATCTCCATCCTCCACAATCAGGATGCTATCTGCCACAATCCTGATTCCTGGAAGTCCCTGCAGTGCCTGATTCAGTCTATGCTGGGTCACCTCTGGGGTGGGCAAGAGGTCCACAGGCATTCATGCCCAGTGGTGTCTGCCACAGGGGGCTGCAAAAATTGTCAGATGGCTTGAGAATTCACTTAGCTCAATATGCCAAAACCTACTTTTTACATCACAAATCATGAATACTTTGTCTTTGACAGTTCATACATAGGCAGTATGTCCTTGAAAGAGTGCAACAGATAATGGCTTCTGTTCAATACCCTGTTCAGGGGTTCTGGATCTATACAGATCCTCAGTTTGCAAGATAGTTTTCTTACTACTAGCAGGTTGCTGATCCAGTCGGTGCTAATTTCCAATACTTTTACAATATCCATTCTTGTCAGGCTTGTTAGTTCCATTTTGAGTGGCTCCACCAGGGCTAGTA